ATCATTTTGATTTTTTAAAATATATAAATTGAAAAGGTTCATTTTTTTTAATTCACTATAAGCTTTTATAGACCTAAGCACGACATTGCTCTTACCTATACTATATAAACACATAGCATGTTATGTATTTACAAATTAACGTGGAACCATTATTTTCATAAAAGAGTATAACAATAATTTCACAACTATATTTTTTTCAAAAAAGAAATAATTTCACAACTATACTATACAGTTACGGTTTATTCTATATATGGTATTCATATAATAATGATATAACAATAATGTATTGGTATTTTTTGTTTTATAACAATTGTGAAAGTAATGGGGTAAAAAATGTGAAAAACGAAGAAGTAAGAGGCCAAAAATGCGAAAGAATCTTTTCTTTTAAAGAAATGATGATTACTGTAATTTTATCGCTTTCTTCTTTATCCAGCTCAGCTCCACTGATCAGCCTCCTGCTCGAGTAACTGTTTCATTTTTAATTTTAATTTTAATTTTATTGTTTTCTTCGAAGAGTTTTCATTTGTTTTCTCCATCGTTTCTTCAATCGGATTATAAATGGAAACGTTCATGCCTACTTCCTGAAAAACCTTTCTTCTTTGCTTTTTGCTTCCTTTCTCTTTCATTCATCGACAAAATTCAGGTGCGTTTCTTCTTCTTCTTTCTCCTTGATTGATTCTCTTTTTTGTTGAATCTTCCGCCATTGATTTCCAGATTTTATTTCGCTATTTTGTATATAATTGTTGGGGTTGTGATTTGTAGATCTCATGGCTTTATGATTGCAGGATCTGTTACCATGGCGCTTGTATCTCGAGCAGGAGGATCATACACTGGTGTATGTTCAAAGACTGGAACTAAAGCAAATTCTTGTGGTGTGAGAAATTTGGATGTGTTGAAAATGAAAGAAGCTTGTGTTAGCTCCTACTCTAGGAGTCTTTCTACCAAATTCAAGAGAGGGCATCGATTGGTTGTTGCGGCAAGCCCTCCAACGGAAGAGGCTGTAGTTGCAACTGAGCCTCTGACGAGAGAGGATCTTATTGCTTATCTTGCCTCTGGATGCAAAACAAAGGATAAATGGAGGTTGCTGTTTGATTTTGTTACATTGGTTTTGTTTGAAGTTGTACAGACTGTTTGTCAGTTGGAATGATATTCCATTTTGCTAACTTAACAGTCTTGAGTTTTGCAGAATAGGTACAGAACATGAGAAATTTGGTTTTGAGGTCAATTCTTTGCGTCCTATGAAGTATGATCAAATAGCCGAGCTGCTTAATAGTATCGCTGAAAGATTCGAATGGGAAAAAGTAATGGAAGATGACAAGATTATCGGTCTGAAGCAGGTAAATGTTCCATCTTTTGAGCTGTTTTTATATATATTAACATGTAGAACATATTAAAAGG